CCGTCCAATGGCCTGCCCATTTGCCTGATTTAAATCCAATTGAGATGGTATGGAATTGGATGAAAGATTGGATACAAGAGCGCTATGGAGATACTCTACACAAGTACGATGAGTTACGAGCAGCTGTTAATGCTGCATGGAATGCTGTGCCCCCTGAATATCTCAAGGAGTTGCTTGAGTCAATGCAGGAGAGATGTCAAGCAGTTTTGGATGCCAATGGAAAACAAACTCGATTTTAGAGACTAGTCCTAATTAAGCGATTTTGTGCACATCTATACTTAATTTTGCATAGTAGGTTTTGTACGGATACTAGCGTTTTCGACCAGGGGGGGTGCAAAAATTAGGCCTGTAGCCGTAGTAGATGCTCGTGCCTCAGGCTTAATACGAGCTGTGGCGGTCTTGGCGACATTTGGTAGGCTGAAGGGGATGCAGGCGGAGGCGGAGAGGTGGAAAAAAGTATTTCGCAACGCCAAAATGGCCTGGGTGACTGCGAAAAGGAACTTCGAGAGCTCTGTAGCGCTGCATTCCCTGGAACGGAAAGATCCACTCGCCCCCCAAATGGGTAAATAGGGGAGCCTCATCGCCGGGCAGTGCATCCAACCCCGCCATTTCTCGCCAAACCCCTGTCTGCCTCGTCTATCAATAAGCATCTATCTCCCTTGAAGACTTTTTCGTTGGTCATACGAGGCCAGGGGTGATGACTTGCCTACTGCCCATATCATGGCTGTCAGTCCCACCCCAGAGCGGTCCGTCTCAAAGCAGGTGCTGCTTTTGACCTTTACGAGTTCCCTGTCGTAAGACCTTGTCAAGGAAATATGCCTTTGGAGCAGGATGACCAGGAACGGGTGCGTCGGGCGATGGAGGAGGTCGGAGCTGACAAGACTGGGACTCGTCTACTTGTCTTGAACGTTTCAGAGTCGCAAAAACTAGGATACTGGACCATCATCTGTACGGTCATAAACCGATCCGTTGGTATGTGCTCACTCGCAAATAATTGTTCATCAAATCAATGGTAGCTGACCCAAATGTCAAAAAGGATCTGGCATATTCGTCACGCCAGCAATATTACTAAAGGCTACTGGTAGTCCCGGGGCTTGTTTGCTAATATGGACTCTTAGGGCAGTCATTGGAATGTGCGCCCTCTTGGTCTGGCTTCAGTTTGCTCTATCAGTCCCAAAATTCCTGCTTCGGAATAGGAACGACGATGATTCTCCGGCTGAAGGCGAATCCTTGCAGTGTGTTCCAAGGTCTGGAGGCGAAAAGAACTTCCTCGAGTACGCGTATGGCTCTAACAGGCTTCGAAAATTGCGGACCACTTGCATGTATGGCCTCATTTATGTGGTTTTGGGAAATCTCACCGGTAATACGATTGCCTTTGGAACCTACTGTCTCGAAGCTGCCGGCATCAGCGGCGGTGGAGACTCCTTAACACGGGGTTTAGCTGTGGTTTGCATGACTGCCGCCTGTCTCCTGCACGCCAGCTATCGGCAGGGTGGCATCTACACGATCATTGTCATTGGAATATTCAAGGTATGCATCCTCGTGGCAATCATTGTAATAGGGTTCGTGGCTATGGCCGGAAAGTCGTTCGGCTATGGATCAGCACACGGTGAGACAATCGTCAACGCGACCTCCCAAAATGGGCCCTCGAATCTCGCTGCGAGTACCTCTTTTTCACATGCGAAGAAGGACTTCGGCAGCTATGCAAGCTCGATCCTTTTCGTCATCTATACTTACAGCGGGAATGAACAACCTTTCTATGTCAGTACCATCATCTGTTCAATATAATTCCCCCTTCGTTTGCTGACGATCACAGGTGATAAGCGAAGTTATCCGCCCCAAGAAGATCTTTGCCAAAGCATCCATCTCTGCCGTGTCCCTGACCATCATCCTCTTTATGCTCGTTAACATTGCATATGTAAGTGTTTTGCGAGTTTCGCAGAGCAAATCTTTGCTGATTGTAGGATAGCTTGGTATTGTTTCCTACGATCCGGAATTGACAATCCAATGCCTGTCCATCAAAGATTCAGTTGACAAGTTCAATCCCAACCTCGTCAATGATGTTATTATGGACCCTACAAGAATTAGAGACAAATGCAATTTGGACATGGCCACTGTCTTTTTTGCTGCAATTTTTGGACCGGGTCTCGCTTCTCGCGTCATGGCAGCTATCATTGCAATCTCGATATTTGGGAATGTCGTCGTGATGACGTTCACGGCGTCAAGGGGTAAGTGACATCACACTCTCCACGGTGGCAGATGGGATTGCTGATACTTCAAACCATAGTGAAACAAGAGATCGCCAAGGAAGGAGTTATTCCAGGCTGGCGTTTCTTTTCTCGCAACGTCACCACCCCTTGGGCGCATCTGCGCCAACGCTTCTGGCCCAGGGAGGGCTACGAGCCAGAGCAAAGTCCCGCTCCGGCTCTCCTGCTCCACTGGATATTCTCCATGATCTTGCTAGGGGCTACCTCCGGAGAAACTGCTGACGTCGCCTACCAAATCCTCGTTGCGCTCTACGCATACACCATTGTGATTCTGGTTGGCTTCTTTACCGCCAGCGGTTTCCTCTACGTGTACTTCTTCGGCGAGGATGGCCATTGGGTCGAGCGGTCAGGATTCAACTGGGGTGGGCCATTCCCTGCTGCTATCTATGCGGCAATCTGCGCATTTTTCATCTTCGCCCCTTTCGTACCGCCAGGCGAGGGCTCGCCGTACTTGAACGAAGTCAAATGGTTTATCGTTCCCACTGTTGGCCTTGGCTTCATGGTGCTAGGATACGTGTACTACTTGGGTTTGATGCATGTGGTTCCGCGGCTGTTCATGAAGAATAAAGTGCTCATTGCAGACCGGGAAGCCATCATAGTTCGCGAGCATGGTGAGTATGTAGTGTATCTCGAGATTGTGGATGCGAGTTGGGAGACTCGTCCCGGATCGGCAAATGAGTCAGACGTGGAAATGCATACCTTCCAGGTGGTGGAGAAGTGATCTGGTGAATATTGTGGATATGTTCGTGTTTAATCATGTCCTTTTCCACATAGCCCGGAGCCGCTGTTTACAATGTCCTGAATAAATACTGTGCATTGCAAAATTGTTGCGAATTCCTTGGCGGGACTCTCGAATTGCTGGCGCTGCGGGGCAGAATTGTGGTGAGATATAAGAATAGCTCCCTAGGTACGAAAAATGCGTAGAAATTGCTTGAAATTGCTTATAGACCTTGCTGGCGCTTGTATCTTGCCTTATCTCAACTGCTGGCCCCTGGTGTTGAGTTTCTAATGAATATATTACTATTGGACCAAAAGGACCGCGGCCCTCAAAGGGCCGTAATGTAACTTTTGTCTGACACACCCCCTCAGGGACGACGAAGTGAAACTCGGCGTTCCTGGATGGAACTCTCTGATAACTAAGGGCTTGCTACCTTGTGTATCAACTACTAGGTGTTTCAAATCTAGTAGATTTAGTCAATTGCCCACAGCTGGGCTCGAACTCGTGTAAAGAGGGTGCCAAGGACTCGGACCTTGGAAGCAAACCCGGGCTCATAACTGTTGGGCCAAAAGGACCGCGGCCCTCAAAGGGCCGTAATGTAACTTTTGTCTGACAATTACGTTTATCAAAGTTGGTAGTAAATTAAATAGAACCTTACGGATATTAAGGAGGAGGATATTAAGTAGAAGGATAATAAGAAGGAGGAGAATAACAAAGAGGAGGATAGCAAGGAGGAGGATAGCAAGGAGGAGGATAGCAAGGAGGAGGATAGCAAGGAGGAGGATAGCAAGGAGGAGGATAGCAAGGAGGAGGATAGCAAGGAGGAGGATAGCAAGGAGGAGGATAGCAAGGAGGAGGATAGCAAGGAGGAGGATAGCAAGGAGGAGGATAGCAAGGAGGAGGATAGCAAGGAGGAGGATAGCAAGGAGGAGGATAGCAAGGAGGAGGATAGCAAGGAGGAGAATATCAAGGAGGAGGAGGATATTAAGGAAAGAAAAGGATATTAAGAAGGAGGATATCAAGGAGGAGGAGGATAGAGTAAAGGATAGTAAAGAGGAGGATATAAAAGAGGATAAAGTAAAGAATATAGAGAATATAGGGGATATAAAGGTTATAGAAGATATAGAAGATATAGAAGATATAGAAGATATAGAAGATATAGAAGATATAGAAGATATAGAAGATATAGAAGATATAGAAGATATAGAGTACCTTCGATATAGAAGATATAGAAGATATAGAGGATATAGAGGATATAGAGTACCTTCTTGTTATCCTCCTCCTCCTTACTACCCCCTTCCTCCTTGCTATCCTTCTCCTCCTTACTATTCTCTTTCTGACGAACTTGCAATGGCTCGAAACTAGAACAAGTCA